GGAGAGAAATTCTAGACCAGCACTGCCTAGTAGAACTTTGAGGATGCAAGTATACCCTATCCAATATAGTAGCCATTAACCACATGTGATTCTTTTTTTTTAAAGATTTATTTATTTATTTATTTATTTGAGAGAGAGCACAAGTGGGAGAGGCAGAGGGAGAGGGAAAGAGAATCTCAAGCAGACTCTGTGCTGTGCACAAAGCCCCACGCAGGGCTCGGTTTCATGACCCTAAGATCATGACATGAGCCAAAACCGAGAGTCAGATACTTAACTGACTGTGGCACCCAGGCACCCCAAATGTGACTTTTGAACCTGAAATGTGGCCAGTGCAATTAAAAAGTTGGATTTTTACTTCACTGTAATTGAAATTAAAAGATGGTCACATGTAAAGACAGTGTGGCAGTAGAAAATCCAAGAGCGTCCAAACCAAAGCCTGTCCTTATCTGTGCATACGTAAACTTCAGCCTAAATTGCCCAAACTATATTTTTAAATCACCTGAACTTTTTCTATTTTTGAATACAACAAACAGCTCTGAAGCTGACTTTGTTCCAATTTTAAGTACTTTGGAAATATCAACTCAGATAAAAATTACAACAGTCCTATAAGGTAGGTAGCAATAAGGGTATCTGGTTGGCTCAGTCGGAAGAGCATGGGACTTTTGACCTTGGGTTTATGAATTTGAGCCCCACATTGGGGGGTAGAGATTATGTAAAAATAAAATCTTTTTTAAAAAAGAAAAAAAAGGTAGCAATACTATCCTTATTTTAGGGATGGTACTGAGAGGTTAAATACTTTGCTTAGATAAGTGGGAGAGATAGGTTTCAGACCCAGGAAGATCTGGCTCTAGAGTCCTTACTCTTAATTACTTTGCTAAATACTAATTGTACTGTCCAAAATGGTAGCCACTAGGTATATGTGACTATTTAATTAAAATTAAAGTTCACTTCCTCAGTTGCACTAACTGCATTTTAAGTTGCTAGATAATGACATGTGGCTTGCGGCTGTTGTACTAGCAAGTAAGGAAAATTTCTGTTTTTGTAGAAAGTTCTATTGAACAGAGCTGCTCTAGAGTATCATTGTAAGAAGGCACCAGCATTAGTTTTGAATTTTGCCTTTTGTGTGCCAGGTTCACATTTGCTGTATTCCTATTACGTCCAGGGCGATTTCTAGGTTTGGGGGCTCTAAGGGTGATCCAATAGACATAGTTCTGTTCTGTGAAATTTACGATCTAGTAAGGGGGATAGATATTAAACCGCAGCTCTGCAGAGCATTGAGGTAAGGATAACCTTTTGAATAAGTGGCACTGGGACAAGTAGATGTTCATATGGGAAAAAAAATTTGATCCCTATCTCACACCATATACAAAAATTCATTCCTATTGGGTTATAGATAAAGTGCGGAAAAGGTAAAACCTTAAAGCTTGTGGAGGATGATAGAAATGACTTCAGTATAGAGAAATACTTCTTAGGACACAAATATCACTGACCATAAAAGGAAAAAATGGATACATCTGGTTACAGTAGGATTGCTGTTCAGCAAAAGACTTTAAACGTTGTCAACTGGCTGCAAAAGGTCTTATTTAGGGGCGCTTGGGTGGCTCAGTCAGTTAAGCATCTACCTTCGGCTCAGGTTATGATCTCAGGGTCCTGGGATCGAGTCCTGCATCGGGCTCCTTGCTGAGCGGGGAGCCTGCTTCTTCCTCTGCCTGCCGCTCCCCCTGCTTTTGCTCACTCTCTCTCTGGCAAGTAAATAAATAAAATCTTTAAAAAAAAAAGGGGGGCGGGGTTTGTTTAGCTCTTGGAATGATCTCGGTCACATTTAAAAATGCGAATATTTGAAAAATATCTGGATTTTAAGCCTTCTTTTGAAAAACAGGGTTTGGAAACATTAGGCCCACAATTCCGTGCAGAGGCTGCCCCTTGGCAGGAGGCACATTCTCTCCAGTTTACCACCAGCCACAACGGGTCCTGTTTTACATGACCTTCCTGGACCATCCAGGCATTTGACTCTACAATAGTGGTATTCAACAAGCACAGAAATAACTTAGGAATTACCTACCACATGCACTAAGTGTTCAGTAGGAAAAAGTACTGGGTTTTATGGGAAAGAAAAACGAGGAGTCCAACTATATATAGATAGATGGATTGGGGAGGGTCCTGCAAGTGACAGGTGAGCCTGGGCAAGTTGGCAGGGCAGAGTGGTGGGTCAGCACCATCGTTTGTAAACTCAGACACAGGGTAGGTCGTAGATGTGGTCCCACATCCCACGTTGTGCCGGTTTCACAATAGTCTCAATGCGAGTTACTAAGCACAAGGGGAAGGAAGAGTAAACCCAGTAAGACTAAAAAGGGCCTATTAGCCAGGAGCCATGACTTAGGAATGATTTCCAATAGCAACACTATTAAGACAGGTGCTTAGAAGAAGCAAGCCAGGGAAGCTAGGAAAAGTTATCAGGCTTGGGGCAAAAGGAACCCAGAGCCTTCTTTTTATGTTTGGAGACATGTCTGCCATGAAAATAAGGAAACCTGCAGAAAAGAGACCAAATTAACAACTAGATCCAGTGATAATGAGCTTTCTGGGGCACTGGTCCTCAGCAGCCCCACGCTCTCACTGTGCTCAGTGACTGCAATTTCTTCTTTTTCCCCTTGTGAGTGACCTGCTTTTTTCCTGACACTGTATAACATTCTTTCAGAACCAGACGATCTCATTTCTCTGCACCCTATAGATCTCTTCAAAGAGAGCTCTGGGCACAAAGGAGATACATGGGGCGTGGAGAATAATATGACTATGCTCTCCAACCCAACGTTGTTATGTGGCAAATGTTCAGTTTATAAGAGAATGTCCCAAGGGTGAGAATTCTTATTTAAGCACTGTCACAGAAATATTGTTGGTACTTCGTAATCTGATGTGTTTTTGCATTTTTGTGATAGGTTCCGTATTCATCAAAAAAGAGATCACACTTTCCAGCACTTAAAAAAAAGAAGCGTGGCATGGAAAACATCCTCCGAAAATCAGATTTGACAGTAGGAAAACTTCAAATGCAGGTGGTGGACAAAGGCTTTTACTTTGTGTTTCAGAAGCATTGCAGAGGGCCGAGTTTAACTGAATGCACAGCCCTGCTAGACAGCATGGTTGTGGGAGGAAATTAATGATTAGATTAGCACGAAGAAATAATGTTAGTAGGGGGCATCCTGAGAGTGACTAAAGGATTGCTAAGGGCATCTAGGATGATGCTGTGTGCCTAATAAATATTAAGTGAATTCAATTAAAATGAAGGCATGCACAAAGGCTTCTTTTGGGAAGAAATGAGATTGTCTTTACCACTGGGTGGTAAATGCATGTTTTCTTGCTCTGTTTGCCATGACTTGAATTAGAATAATACTTTGGGATTTGCAAAACGTCCACCAATTCCTGAAGTTGTCTCTCAGGAAAAAACCACCATCCCTTTGGTTTTGACAAGGGTCGGGCCTGGTTAGTACTTGGATGGGAGACAAGGCTTTCCAAAATATGGCTACATTTCTTTGCATCTGTCTGTCATAGGTGGATGACCTCATAGAAACAGTGACAGATAAATCCATGAAGTTATTGGCCCAAAGACATGCTGAGCTTCAACAGTGTGAATTTCTAGGGGACGAAATTCTTCAGTCTTCGAAGCAGTTCCAGAGGATATCCAAGAGAACCATGAGGAAGTATAAATTGAAAAATGTATGTTTCCCATGTACCTGTTGCTGCTTCTGATTTAGTTCCTGACTGCCTAAGAGTTATTTTTATAGGAATTCTTATCTTTTGGTTCATAAACCTGAATACATCTCTCTAGTGAATTAATCAGTTGGGGAGATGGATATTTCTTAGAATATTCTGTCCAACAGTCCTTAAAAAAAAATCCTTTTTTGAAAAAATGATTTTTAATTCTGAGTCAATGTTAGCAAATTTTTGCTTCATAATTCTTACTAATATTGGAAAACAGAAACATTTATCAGGGCATAGCAATTCTGCAGAGAAATTTCTCCCAGGATTTGCCAGATGAAATTAGAGGAATCATTTAAAGGTATTATGACACTTTTAATATGACTACTACTGAGTTAAATTTAAACTTCCATATTTAAAGATAAGAATTCTTATTAAAATTACAAAAACTAACATTGTTTAAGGTATGATTCATGTAAAGTGTCATGTTTCCGAACTAAAATAAATGGATAAGGATGGAACCTAACAAGTATTGAACATTAAATTCACTACTTAAGAAAATTACAAGTGATTCAGCCTTAGCTTCATTTTTAAGATCATGAAATCCTTTATGCAAGACCGACCATCTTTTTTTTTTTTTTTTTGAAGATTTTATTTTTTTGACAGAGAGAGATATAGTGAGAGAGGGAACACAAGCAGGGGGAGTGGCAGGCAGAGGGAAAAGGAGAAGCTGGCTCCCCAGTGAGCTGGGAGCCCGATGTGGGGCTCGATCCCAGGACCCTGAGATCATGACCTGAGCCGAAGGCAGACACTTAACCGACTGAGCCACCCAGGTGCCCCAAGACCAACCATCTTAATAGTCTATTTTTCTGAGACAACTTTTTCTTTGTCAATATGTTTTTTCTACTGAAAATGACTCCTAAATAATGGAACAGTAGAAGAAAACATATCATCAAAACATTTAACAACCAGACTGCTTAAGCATTACGGAGAGAGATCTAGAAGGCAATGCATAGTGATTTAATTTGCATCTTGTAATTACCTCTTATACCACTGATTGTTAGGATCAGGCAACCTCTCCCCAAATGAGCACATACCACAAACATTTTGTACATAATTTCACAAGTTCACAGCCCTCATGAAGCCTATTCATGAACTCCATTTTCAAAGATGGTAACAATTTCCAGACTGACTCATTTTTTTCACGTACATCCTAGAAATGCCACTTTCTCACAATCTTCAACTTATTTTATAAATGAACCAGTCTTACCAGTTAAAAACTACCTAGAATACTAATGAGCACAAACATATCTGGCTTGAAAACATTTTATTAAACATTTTTGGATATCGCTTCCTACTTTTTAAGTTTAAGAATAAAAAAGACATTTCAATACAAACAAATTTATACTGAAGTTTTTTTCCTTTGTGTAAAGAAATAGGAATGAACTGTGCATTAGTATTTAAAAGCAAAGTAGTCTACTGCCAAAACTTTAAATAGCTCAAGAGCACAACAAATTCTAAACGCACTAGGAGCATGTTGTTACTTCCGCCTTCTTGGGAAGGGTGAACCATTAGTCTGTTTATGGCTTAGGATCTGTTTCCATGGTGCTTTCTTGAGCTTCTTCTACCTCTGAGAGCTTTTCATCATCTGCAATTGAGAAAGAACCATAAAACTTTAGTCAAATTTGCTTAAATTATATGTTTATGAATACATGACAACATTTTTATCCTTTATTAGCCGATATGTCTAAAACAAAGATGGCAAAATGGCAGCCTATGACTGTCATCAGCCCACACAGTGTTTGGTTTTAAAAGTGCTGTTTTGGTTTTTGGTGTTTATTAGTTAAGTCAAAATGTAAAATTTATGTGATAGAATACATTAAAAAAAAATCTAGGTTTTAGGTTTTTCTTAAAAACAATAAGGAGGTCAGATAACATCGAAATTTCCAATGGGCTGATACAAATTAGTATTGACTAATACAAAGAGCAAGTCTCCAGTTCCCCAAAGCACCTTCCATTCATGGACTATGCAAATGTGCTTATGCACTAATTACTCCACTCACTTACTGCTGCCTGCCTGGGTCCTGAATTGTTACTTTATAGCAATAAACTATAATAAACCAAGAAGAATTCCAAATCTATCATCCCTGAATTTCTCTTAATGTGAACTACTGGACATGTATTTTAAATGATATATTTCTGCATATATGCAGAAAGCTGAACAGCATGAACACTTTTAACATCATCCTGCTATACTCCTGTTCTGAAACTGAAGGTGTACTCTCTCAATAAGATGTATTATTTTAGAAGGCACGCCCCTGGATCACTTAAAAGTCTTGATAAAAATTCATTCTGTGACTATTTCTACTTACTTTCTAGCGTTTGCTGAAGTTCGTGGATGGTACTAAGGAGAACGTGAAACTGTTTCCGTCTCAATTCCAGCTGTGTTAATGAGAAAAAAATTAATACACATTGATCTATACACATATACATATCATAGAGACCAATGTATGTGTACAAATACCTTATCTTCAACACTTTCTTTAATATGTGAAAGATGCTCTAGTTCCTTTCCCAGAGACTCTAGTTCCCTGAAAATAATAAAACAGTGTTATAGCTTGCTAGTTGGGGGAACAGAAGTCACAATTAATACCTAACTTTTTAGTTACTAAAGAGTTTTAAAAATTAAAAAAAAGATAAGTTATTACACTCCATTATGATGAAACTTTGAAGCTAGGGATGATCTCTTCTTAAATTCTAAGTATGTACTTTTTTAATTAAAATCAAATTTTCTAGATAATTTTTAAAACCTAAGAAAACACAGATAAATAGAACATCACACCACAAGAATTGATAACTTTTAACATTTTATCATACTTATTTGACCAAAAAAAGTCTTCTTTTTTCCCCCTTGGTAAAAGAAATAAAACATTGCAGATTAACTTGAAATCCTCTTGGAACCTTATTGGCTATCCTCTATCTCAGACCTTTTTCCTCCTCTATTCCCCACTCAGGCAATCACTCTATCACTCCAATCCTTTTTCATACATATATTTGTCTCTTTAAATAATATACAGTATTAGTATATAATGGGGGGAGTTAACTTCTATAAATGTTATTCTGCATCTGTTAGAGAAACTTAGGAATAACTTAAAATTTATTGTCTTCTGTTTTTCTTTTCACTGATTATGTTTTTCAGATCTGAGTTTTTATTTTCTTAAAGATTTTTATTTATTTATTTAAGAGACAAAGAGAGAGAGAGCACTAGCACATGCTAGGGGAGGCAGAAGGAGAAGCAGACTCCCCACTGAGCAGGGAGCCCGACACTGGACTCGATCCCAGGACCCTAGGATCATGACCTGAGTTGAAGGCAGACACTTAACAGACTAAGCCACTCAGGCGCCCCTGAGATCTGACTTTAACAAGTGTATATCTAAAAAAAGTGTATATCTAGTTTGTTCTTTTAAACTGTTCATTTAGCATTCTACTATATATATAGTATACCATATTTTATCTATTTTCATTTGATACATATATAATATGCATTTATTTTATTATTTTAGAACTAGAGACAGTAAGATCGGAGGAAGGAAAAACTCAATCAAGTGGTATTAGAATATGTAATTTGGAAGATCTGACCCCTCCTTCTGAAACACATTATGTACTCCCATAAAAATGGAATGTATAGGCTAGTATGTAAACATTTATATAGAAAGACTGGTTCCTTTCAAAGTAAACTCTAAACTTACTTTAATGTCTCATGCCGGTCTGGATGGTGCTGGATCACTTTCGCCAAAGCATCGTATTCTGAAAGATACAAAAATATTTACCAAATTAAGGTTTTTTTTTGAACATGGATATGAGAAAAAAGATATATCACAGGTCTCTCCTAATCACTTTCTCAGTGCATAAAGAAATGAAAACACTGAAGGATGCAAAGAGTACTGCCCATATCACTTGGTTCAACAATAACTACAATGATACATGATTTCAAAACTGTTCCAAACAAGGTCTTTTGCTCCCACTCTGTTTTTCCACTTACCTATCCCTGGGCAGGATATAAGAGGCCAGCATAGGAGAAGTGAACTTAAGCCATTCATTGATCATTAAGTGGACTGATTCTGAAGAGGATCTTATTCACTATTTGCCCAACAAAGAGAAGACCAGCGAGGTCAATATATCCTACCATTCATTTCAGATCTTAACAATGGCAAATTACACTTCTCATTCTCATTCTAAAGGTAAAGATTTCAGAAATTGAGAAACAATTTAAAATTCAGAAATGATAAAATTCCTTCCTTCTTTTCCACTGAGGCCTCCAAGTTTCCCTGTTATTTCCTGTTAACCTTGAAATGATGAATGGCAGCATTCATTTAAAAGCCTCAACTAGGGGCTCCTGGGTGGCTCAGTCATTGGGTGTCTGCCTTCAGCTCGGGTCCTGATCCCAGGATCCTGGGATGGAGCCTCGCATCGGGCTCCCTACTCAGCGGGAAGCCTCCCTCTCCCTCTGCCCCTGCTTGTGTTCCCTCTCTCGCTGTGTCTCTCTCTGTCACATAAATAAATAAAAATAAAATCTTTAAAAAAATGAATAAATAAAAGCCTCAACTAATTGAGAAAAACACTATGAAACCTTTTTAAATGATTTTAGAATTGATAATAATTATTATGTAAGTTGGTATATCCCCTTTTGTAAATTGGTCACTGAACTCGACCACATGTATTTTTGAATGAGTTCAAAAACCAATTTTTTAAAATAAGGAGTTAAATATCTCAATTGGCTCATTGAAAAGTAAAATTTATTGTTTTGAAAATCAGCATTTTAAGCCAATAAAAGTGTGACTTTTAATAAAAATTTTTTGGATTACAAAATAATACATGATCAGTCCAGGGGTGACAAAAGAAAAAAAAAAGACCCCAAGCCATAAAAACCCACAGCCCCAAAATAACCATTAACATTTTGTATTTCCTTCTAGTTTTTTATATATAGGTCACAACTGTGATTATGCATTATATTTTTTATCTTCCTTTCTTTCAGTTTACATTATAGGAGGAACAATGCCCCGGCCATTAAAATTATTTTGAAATAGTTTGTTTTTATGGACTGCAATGAGGACATACCCTAGTTAAAAAACAAAAGAGGAGTGCCTGGCTGGCTCAGTCAGTTAAGCATCTGCCTTCAGCTCAGGTCATGATCCCAGGACCCCCGGGATGGAGCCCCACATTGGGCTCCCTGATCAGTGGGGAGCCTGCTTCTCCCTCTCCCTCTGCTGCTCCCCCTGCTTATAATCTCTCCCTCTCTCTGTCAAATAAATGAATAAAATCTTAAAAACAAAAAAAACAAAAGAGAGTAGGACAAAGCTAAATTTTAAATGTTTGCTTGTTTTGTACTTAATAAAAACTCATGGGACTTAAATTCTTTTCTTTTTCCTGGAAAGTAACTCCATGAAACAAACAACCATTAAAACCTTAGGTCTAGTGTACTTGTGTGAACTGCCTTTGCTGATTAACCATAACATTACTTAGGGCAAAGGGGTCTGAAGACAGTAAAAAAAAAAAATGAATACTTAAGAAATATTTGGATTAGGGGTGCCTGGGTGGCTCAGTCATTAAGCGTCTGCCTTCGGCTCAGGTCATGATCCCAGGGTCCTGGGATCCAACCCCGCATTGGGCTCCTTGCTCAGCAGGAAGCCTGCTTCTCCCTCTCCCACTCCCCCGTTTGTGTTCCTTCTCTCGCTGTGTCCCTCTCTGTCAAATAAATAAATAAATAATCATTAAAAAAATATTTGTATTAAAGAAATATTTGGATAATCAATACAATCCAGCAAAAATTAAAAAAAAAAAGGTTTTTCAGCATAGCCTTCCTCCTCCACTATTTTAAAGAATAATATAGTTTTAAAGAATTAAGTTTAGCTGTTAATTCTTTTTAATAATTCAGATTGATTCTTGCTGAAGATTTTACCACACAGCATTAAAAGCTGCATGAAAATAGTATTCAGTAATAAAGCATTTGCACACTAAATCCCACAAAACCCTTACCTTGGCGGTTTTTTCGTATTCGCTTTGCTTGAAGAATTTGTTTTTTGCACTCAGCAATTTTTTCATGTGCTCCAGCAATGCTACATTCTATATGAAAAGGTTTTTTTAAAGACAGTTGCAACAACATGTATAATCTTCATCCATTTTCAATTTTAAAATGTGTTTTTAAATTAAGTTCCATTGCTAATAAAATAGATGCTGGTGTTTAAAAAATAGCTACAACCCAAAGTACTGTAATCATATCAGAATACATTTTTGTAGCTAACATTTACTCTATTCTTTCTATTAACATTGTCATTGTTATTATTTTACCACTAACCAAAGAAAAATGCTAGTATATACGGTCTCCTTTAGACCATAAAAATTAAAATTTTACATGGACACATTAATTTAAGTTTCTTTACCTATTTCTTTGTAAATTTTTTCATAATTTTCCATTTCTCTGAGATTCATATCATATACAAGCAAAGTTTTGCCCATTGAAAATTCACATTGGGACAGTGTGCTCAGCATACGTTGGTACTGGCTATATCTAATGGAAAAGAGAGAAACAGAATAAAGATTTTTGTGAAATACCAAAGTTGAACTATTATATATTACAGTGCAGGCAGAACTATCAAGTTCTGAGAGAATCATGTGCTTTATTTAAAATAATGTAGGGGCGCCTGGGTGGCTCAGTTGGTTAGGCGGCTGCCTTCGGCTCAGGTCATGATCCCGGAGTCCCTGGATCGAGTCCCGCATCGGGCTCCCTGCTCGGCGGGGGGTCTGCTTCTCCCTCTGACCCTCCCCCCTCTCATGTGCTCTCTCTCAAATAAATAAAATCTTTAAAAAAACAAATAAATAAATAAAATAATTTAGAGCATCTTTCTCTTATGTTTAATTTTTCCTAATGGGATGTACTTGGATTTATAAACTGCTTTAGTTACAAGTGCAAAGATGGGACTGCTGTTCTTATCAATATAAGCTTAATTCAAACAACTACTTGTTTGAATTTTGTTTAAAATACTTTTAAAAATGTTTTAATCAAGGGGCGCTTGGATGGCTCAGTTGGTTAAGCGTCTGCCTTCGGCTCAGGTCATGATCTCAGGGTCCTGGGATCCAGCCCCGTGTGGGGCTCTCTGCTCAGTGGTGAGTCTGCTCTCCCTCCCTCTCTCTCTCAAATAAATAAAATTAAAAAAAAAAAAGTCTTAAGATGGTTTTTTATCCTCACAACTTTATTTTCACAATTTTTTCACTCTTTACAATGATTTATTTGAAAAGCTAATTCAAATGAGCGAAATTTTTCTAAGGCAAAAAAAGTTATTAAATATATATAAAACCTTGCAATCTATAAAAGCTTTTTATGAGCTTATTAAAGAAAGAAAATTGGGGCACCTGGCTGGCTCAGTCGGTAGTGCAGGTGACTCTTGATCTCAGAGTCTTGAGTTCAAGCCCCACACTGGGCCTAGAGCTTACTTAAAAAAAGGGTTGCTGGAGGGGAGGGTGGTGGGGGATGGAGTAACTGGGTGATGGACATTGGAGAGGGTATGTGGTGTAATGACCACTGGGTATTATATAAATAAGACTGATGAATCACGGACCTGTACCCCTGAAACAAATAATATAGCTTATGTTAATTAATTGAATTTAAATTTTAAAAAAGAAAAAGTAATGCAATAAAGACTGACTCAAATATTTTATGTAAAAAAAATTTTTTTAAAGAAAAAGAAAATTTCATTTAGATATTTTGTCTAACTAAATGCTAAAAGTGACCAAATTAATGAGCCAGAATTTAATCCTTATTTCTTACCACTACACCTTCTGCACATTTTAATAAACATAAAGCAGGCCTCTGAAAGAAATAAGGGCCAGAAAAATCTACACTTGATTAACCCAGAGTTGCCTCCATAGGACATCTGAAGGTGAGTGAAAATCTGAAATACTGACAGGGGTGTTGTATACACGGTCTAAACTTTGATCAGGACATCGGTGTAGAAACAACAGTGAGATGAAATACCCCTCTTCCTGGGACCCGGAGTTGCACCATTTAATGAAACTTTTCACAAGCAGATTGATTCTCCGATCATCTCCAGCGCCGTCTCCATCAATTAGGAGACGCTTCCGTATGACTTCATCTGGAGAGAAGAAGAACAACGTGAATTAAAACGATGGTCTGGCTCTTGCCGACTTTCAGGGACAAATAACCAATATCACAACTTATTCATTCATCCAAAAGAAAACCATTGAGATGCAAATATACTTCAAGCCACTAAACTGTATACTTACAATGGTTAAGATGGCAAATTTCATGTTTTGTAGGCTTTACAACTTATGTATGTATTTTTATGTCAATATAAAGACAGTTATTTAGTGACTATTGTGTGCAGGCATTGTATTAGGGGTCAGGGTTATCAATGCGCTCACGGAACTAGAATTCTACTCCTGGGGTGCTGAGTAGAAATAGTTTTCAGGTATCACCAAGGAAATAAGCCCATAGTTTTTGGAGAACTTTGTTTTGGAAAAACCTGTTCAGACAGAAGGAAGGCTGAAGTGTTCCTATCTCTGACTAGTGTGAGGTAGTGGTGAAAGGCACAGAAAGAAAAGATTTGAAAGATGTAGTGGCAGATCGGGTGAAAAGAATGAGTGATGGGTCAGAGAACCGGGAATGGATTTATCAAAAAAAAAAAAAAAAAAGCAAAGCGTAATTTAGTTCTTACACCTGTAATGTTTCTTTCCCCATGAAGACTTTTCTTTTCTTTTTTTAACAAGTCTGTCTCACTTTTGCTTCAAGGGAAAGAAAAGGAAAATGAAATCAAAGAGTAATGATGAGTAATAAGTGGGGCTCCAATTTGCCTGCCTGGCCGTGCTCTTGCTGGACAATAATGCTGGATCATAACAAGAGAAAGGCAGATTGAAACCCAATAAAACATAATTTTTTAAACAGATTTATTTATTTGAGAGAGAGAGAGCTCATGCGCATGGGGGAAAGGAGAGAATCCCTAAGCAGACTCTCCACTGAGCAGCGAGCCCGAACAAGGGCTGGATCCCATGATCCACGAGATCATGACCTGAGCCAAAATCAAGAGTCCGAGACTTAACCCACTGAGCCACCCAGGTACCCCAAACATAATTTTCATATCAGATTGGCAAAGATCAAAATACCCAATAGAAAGTGTTGGCAAGGATACTGAGAAATTGCACTTACATACACTGATGGAATGTAGACTGGTACGCTCTTTCTGGGACAAATGGGCTATCACAAACAAGATTTCAAATGCATGTATCTTTTTGACCCCAGAACTCCAATTCTAGGAATTCATCCCATAGATACCATGTGCATCCATCCACAAAGATAAATGTAAAGAGATGTTCTTAGTGCTGTTTGTAGTAGAAAGACTGCAAACCTAAACATTACCAGTAAGAGACTGGCTAGATTATGAAACCTTCATCTAATATAATATGATGCAGCCAATAGTGTGTATGTATATACCAATGGTAAGAAATCTTTGGTACAGGAAGTGAAATGAAAACAAAACAGGTGCAAAGAAGCACAGAGTTTGCAGTCATTTGTGTAGAAAAGGGGGAGGCTTTGTGTATGTCTGTGTGTGTGCATTTATGTATGTATGTATTCAGAGACAATCTTTGGAAAGAGCACAAGAAACTGGTAATAGTGGTTTCTTCTGGTGAGCGGGACTACAGAGGGGACGAGAAAAAATTTAATTTTCTATATCATTTCACATAATTGTTTGTTTTTCACCATGTTCGTACATTATTTTTTAAAAATAAATTTTAAAGTGTGGATTAATTCCTGGAGAGCCTGCACAATGAATCAATGGCAAAATCTTTAAACAACAGTTCCTGTGTGTAGGCAGAAGTATTTTTGAGCGCAGGTGCAGCGGAGATAAAGTTTGGAAGGCAGGTGGCTGCAGTTTTAAAATCTGTTCTGTGACAACATCGGATAAACATTTTTAGAATTGGGTTTTGTTCTCAGAGGCATGGCTTTGACAGGCAGCTCAAGTTATCAATTCATCAGGTATTTTAATTTTACACTGTAAAATACAACCTAATGCTTTCAATTTTTGACCACCAACACTATTATTTGAAGAACCTGAGACAAAACAGTCCTCAAAGAGATTAAAATGCAGAAAATGAACTGATTTTATTTTTTATTACAAACATGCTTTAACTTTGTTAAAAGTAAACATCCGGCAGGTGAGCAGTCTGATGTTTGATGCTGTTCAATTCCTTTCCTTTCTTTTTGTTCAATTTCTTGTTTTCTTATCTCTGCTCTTCCAACCCCCAACAAACCCCATCTTCCTCCCAGATACCTGGTCATTCTACTTTATTGAGGACCAGCCATAATAGGGAATAGAAAATTGGGAAATGAGTACCCTAATGGGGAAACTATTACCACAGCTCGTTTTTCAAGAGATTTTTAGAGTTTGGTGACTAACTAAAAATGGTTCAAGCACATTTTGTGATTATTCCAGCTGTAGAGTTAAGATCTGTGTACTTTTATATATGCAATATCCCAATTATAAAAGTTTTTGAAAAATGTTTAGAACACTGTACAGGCCAAATAAACTTGGGGAAAAGGTTCATGAGGGCCAGTCCCGTGTCTTATTCATTCTGTTTACTCCCCAAACTCTCACACTGTGTCTTTACACTTCTCATGTGCAATAAATATTTTTAAATTGGATTTGTGGTGCCTGCCTGGGACCATCTGCCCTCCAAAGAGTTTTGTCTCAATAAAATACTAACAAGGACCAGCAGGCAACCATCTTATTTTCAGGTCCAAAGCAGAGATTTCTCTTCTTGTACGAAAGACATGAATACTTGATCAATGAGCAGATGTGTCCATAGGGTACCAGAGTAGTTCTGAGGATGTGAGATAAAGACCTGAGCTCTTTTGCTCTAGGTGGAGAAATAACGTGCATATGAACACACAAGCAGAGAAGACTGAGATTGTTAAATGAATGACACGGACATGTACCAGAAGATATTAGGAGGACAGCTTCCTTTGGCTTGGGGTAAGAGGGGGAAATGGAATTTGGGCTGCTCTTTTCATACTTAAAAATCATCAGTCACTGGGGCGCCTAGGTGGCTCAGTCAGTTAAGTGTCCGAATCTTGGTTTTTTGCTCAGGTCATGATCTCAGGGTCCTGTGATCAAGCCCCACATCAGGCTCCACACTCAGCACAGAGTCTGCTTATCTCTCTCTGCTCCCCACTCTGTCTGAGTTCTAAATAAATAAACAAAATCTTTGGGGCGCCTGGGTGGCTCAGTCAGTTAAGTGTCTGCCTTTGGCTCAGGTCATGATCCCAGGGTTCTGGGACTGAACCTCACATCAGGCTCCCTGCTCAGTGGGGAGTCTGCTTCTCCTTCTCCCCCTGCCTGCTTGTGCTCTCTTTCTCTCTTGCTCACTTTTTTTTTTTTAAGATTTTATTTATTTATGTGACAGAGAGAGACACAGTGAGAGAGGGAACACAAGCAGGGGGAGTGGGAGAGGGAGAAGCGGGCTTCCCGCGGAGCTGGGAGCCTGACACGGGGCTCGATCCCAGGACCCTGGGATCATGACCTGAGCTGAAGGCAGACGCTTAATGACTGAGCCACCCAGGCGCCCCTCTTGCTCACTCTCTAATAAAAATAAAATACATAAAGAAAATCTTTTAAAAAATCATCAATCAACAAAGCTAAAAGGTATTTTAACAATATTTACCTACACCTCAAATAACATATACCCTTTGGCCCAACAACCCTAGATAAACTTATACGTATGCAAAATGACTATGTCCATCAACAGGGGGCTAGATAAATTTTGGTACAAGAATATAATGGAATACTATGAAGCCATAAAAAAAAAAAACCCCAAAGAATGAGGAAATGTCTGTGTGCTGATACAGAGAGATCACAAGATAACTTGATAAGAGAGCAAAGTGAGGAACAGTATGTATGGCATGTTTTCTTTCACACATAAAGGGGGGAGAAATTAGAATATATGCTTATATTCATACAAATACCCTGGAATGATATACAACTAATATGAGGGGTTACCAAGGGAGAGGGGCAGTGTAAGTGGGATAGAGAACAGGCTGGAAGATGGGGAAATATCTTTTTACATTATTTGATTTTTGAACCATATGAGCCCTCAAAATCTGTTAGCTGTTGTTTGAAAAAGAAAGCTATGATTATTAAGGTGATGGTATCACAGGTGTTTACATATGTCCAGATGCATCAAACTGTACACATAAAATACTCAGTTCTTTGTATAAAATTATCCCTCAATAAAGCCACTCTAAAAAAAAAAGAGGGGTGCATGCTGGCTCAGTCGATAGAGCATGCAACTCTTGATCTTGGGGTTGTGAGTTAGAGCCCCACGCTGGATGTAGAGATTACTTAAAAAAGTAAAATCTTTGGGGCACCTGGGTGGTGCAGTCAGTTGAGCAACCGAATCTTGATTTTGGCTCAGGTTGTGATCTCAGGGTTGTGAGATCAAGCCCTACGTGGGGCTCTGTGCTCATCGTGGAGTCTACTTAAGACTCTCTCTCCCTTTGCTACCCCCTGCCAAGTAAATAAATCTTAAAAAAAAAAAAATCTTTAAATAAATAAATATTTAAAAAGGGAAAAAAAAATTTAAAAGCAAGCTAAAGTCCCTTCCCTGTCCCCACCCCAGACAGGGAGAAAGCTGTGAGCTCCAACAGAGGTGGGGAATGAAAGGCTAGAACACATATGTGCATATGAGAACATTAAGGAGGCTGGACAAATCTTGGGACCCAAGTACAGAAAGACAGAGGTCAGAATGTGGGAGTCTGCATTAGTGAATGTCATACCTGTGGACTTGGACTTTGCTGGCAGGCAATTGGGAGTTGCTAAAGATTCAGGAGCAGGACTTTCTAGAAGGATTAAGCTGAGAGCAGTGTACAAAATGGACTGCAGCTGGGAAAAGCCCAAAGGCAGGGAAGCTATTAGGAGACTCCCAAAAAAACATGCAGTAGAAGCTAAAATGGCATGAAAATTAGAGATTAGAATCACAGGTCCTGGGGCAGGTCATGACTGAGCAGAGGCTTGGCTAGGAAAAGGCAGGGACCAATGCCTAGGTGCCATGTATAGGAGTGTGGCAGTCCAATTCTGGTAAC